TCAGGTAATCCAGGTGAGAGGGTGATGGCTGAGACACATCCTTAGAGGGCGTGAGATGTGATTTGTGGTGCGCCTGGCATGATTTGCTGCTGGATTTGACACCGTGGACAGGGAAAGCAAATGAAGATTGGTTCCTTAGTTCTCTTACCTGACCGCATGTGTTGGTGGGTGTTGATGCCATTGAGACAGGGATATTGTCAGAGATGAGGAAGTTTAGACTGGGCATCGAAAATCAAGAGCTTTGTTCATAAGAAAGGGGCTCTTACTACTAATTCTCAACTTAATAAAGGAATCCTGTTCAGTTTATAGTGACTAATGAAGCATTGGGGCCTCTACTTTTGATTTTAAAGCTGTGTACAAATCTGTTAAATGAAGGTAAACCATATTACTAAGACTGATGACTGCTGAATATGTTGAATGCAAGGGCAAAACCAAAGGCCTATTAGACCAAGAAACGAATACCTGTCTGAGTGACTTTTATGTAGTTAGCCACTCAGCAAAACATCCTAAAATAGCCTACAAGAGTTCAAGACCACGATGACTTGTCTTTTTTTTTTTTTTTGGAGACAGTGTCTCACTGTGTAGTTCAGACTGACCTTGAACTCACTATGTAGCCCAGGCTGGCCTCAGACTAATGGCAATCCTCCTGTCTCAGCCTCCTGAGTGCTTGGATTACAGGTGTGCACCACTTTGCCCAGCTATAATGTCTATCATATATAAAGGTTTCACATTAATTTTTCTATTTCATGATATTGACATGTCAGGGTAGTTGTTTTATATATGTGTCTCAATCTGGACTTGTCTGGTTGCTTTTCCTTTGAGTAGATTCAGATTAAACATTTTTGGTAACAGTTCCCCATGAGGCGTGGTACATGTTAGTCTCTTCCCTTATTGACAACTCTGATGTCTCACTTGGGCTGCTCTTCATAACTAATAATCTCTCTGTGAAGTGGTATGTTAAGACCATGTAAAAGAGTGGTTTTCATATTAATGGTTATTGCCTGAATCAGTTGTGTGTTTTTTTTTTTTTTTTTTTTTTGGTTTTTTGAGACAGGGTCTCAACTATGTAGTTGAGACTGACCTGGAACTCACTATGTAGCCCAGGCTGGTCTTGAGCTCAGCAATCCTCCTGCCTCAGCCTCCCGAGTGCTGGGACTATAGGTATGTGTCACCACGCCTGGTTGCTTGAATCAGTTTTTATAATGTGATTAAAAACCAGTGAATGATTAGTTTTATTTTGGGGATTGAGCCCAAGGAAGCTTGGAAATGAGCTACAGTTCCCCATCTTTTTCTTTACTTTTCTTTTCTTTTCTTTTTTTTTTTTTTTTTTTTTTTTT